GCAGGAAGTAAAAGTTGGCTGTTCTATCCCAGGGCACATATGTCTCAGGGTCCCTGCGCATTGTGTTTGATAACTCTGCACATTTTTAGCTCTGGCTTGTCACAGTGTGTTGGTTGGCTGTGGTGGGTGTTCAGGGCTGTGGCTGACAGGGATTACTTGCCCTTGTCAGGCTGTTTGGGCAGATGGTGTGTGTGGTGGGGCTGCTGCTGTACGTCAGGGAGGCCCCTGGGTACCCCTAATCCGTTGGTTGGTTCTCTTTTATCCCCTGTTAGCAGGAGCACAGGTTTCCCTGATCTTAACAGGTGTGAGATATGCAAGTCGTGTACTGCTTTGACAGACAGTGTTCTAGTGAAACTGTGTCAGGAGATTCTCAGGAGCAAAGACAAGAATTTAGTGGTTTATTTCATACCAGTTGAGTTTAATTTTCCTAATTTAATCAAATGTGTTCTTGAGGGCTTCTTAGTGTGTGGGAACCAAGCTATTTTAGAATCAGCAGCAGAGACTCTGCCCATAATACTGTGGTTCCATGGTCAAGGGTGGGGGAGTGAGTGTAAGAATGGCTCTAAAGCTATTGATTCGTGTAAGCTTGCAGTGTGACTTGACTGCTGACCTCTAGTTATCTAGTCCTGCAAGGAGAAATAGGCATTTTTAAAATCTTACATCATGAGGAAGTTTTGACCATTCGTCCTCTTCAGGGAGGCCACGTGTGACGTACGAGTTGTACAAACAGCAGAGTTAGAATCCTGTGTCCCAAACTGTTATCCTGCCCATCTTTTATCAGCTTTTAGGGACTCACAGGGTCACAAGGGTAGTTCTAAAAATGTTGTGTACATTACTCTTGTTTCTGTTCTGATTTCTTTCCTTCTCAGTCCAGTTGGGTGTAAGCCAGACTTGACTTCCTTGTCCATAGTTAAAACCTAGTCCTTTAATTTCAGACATATGAAAACACTTGGATTCTCCTGATTGTTTATGCAGTTTTACAGAAGAAACACCTGAGACTTTGGTACTTTTCAGTTCCAAGTTTGTCATCCCCATTGACACATCTTGCTATTACCTAACAGTAGTTTATATTTAGACCAGATAGAAGGCAAACATTTCTTAGAAAAATAAATATTTTAGTATCAGAAGAGCTACTTGTACAGTCATCTCATGGATGAAGAATAAAACTTCTGTGTCTCAATGACTGTTCAGAATTCTGGATTCTTGTAGGAACCTAAATACTGTGGAGTAGGTCTGAGTAAGGAAAACATGCTATTGTGAAGGTTAAATTAGGGAGGAATTATTTACAGAATCCAGCTAAATTTCCAAATGCAGAACCCCAGTCTATTAATTTATTTCAGCCTTGTTACCTTGTGTCAAAAAGAGTATCTGGAGATAGCTGAGGGCAGAAGTAACAGTGCTATAGTTCTCAAGTGACAATTTCTGTACACCTCAGTAAACAAGGAATGTATTTTTCCAAGAAACAAAAATCCTGTATAGCACACGTTTTCTTCCTGCTGCATGATTTTGTTTGGAGCAATGGCATTGGAGCACAAAATAAAACAAAAACCACCCCAAACTCACCTCCACCCCAAAACAAAGCCCCACCAGGAGCCTTGTGTCTAGCGTATCTAAGTTCACAACAGTGAAACTGCTACCAAAATCAGGTGCCTGACAAGTGGAATGAGCAAACCATAATTTTTTTATGTTCAGAAGTATTTTTGACTGACTGTTTTACTTGCCTAAAACCTCAGCTTCTGCTGACAGATTAGAAACAGTAGCATTAAAATAGTAACTGTTTCTCAGCATCAGACAAACTGTTTTAGAACCTCATTTTAATAACTCATTGTCATACACAAAAATATCTTTTGGAAGAGTGGAATAAGGGCTTTTAACTTCTGTTTCAGGACTCTGAACTAAAGTAAATGTCCTGTGTGTGAAGAAAGCTTTAGGCTGATCAAAACTAGTCTATCACTGTCTTCACTTCAGGTTACTACCCAGCAGGTCTGGCCATGAGAGAGAGAACTAAAGAGCAGTGGCACTGAAGGACACGTGCCAGTCATAGGGGTGTGGAATGCAGAGGGTCAGTGACTGGGGCCATCAGCTGCCCTGACCCTCCTGCAGCCACTGGCACGGGCCCTGCCGAGCCCACAGTGGTTCCACAGGGGATTCCTTCACAGCCCAACTCACCCCTGAGGTGCCAATGCCATGTGCCACCCCCACCAGTGACAAAGAGCTGAGCTGATGGCTCAGCAAGGCCCAGCAGCTGTTGGTTAAACCAGGCCATCACTAACCACTGCTGTGGGCACTTGGGTGCTGCGGAACACGCTGCAGTGCGAGGTGTCCTGCTCTGCCTCTCTGGCAAAGCAAGTGTGTTTGCCACCTAAAGTATTGCAGGTGGTAACTCCACTGTGGTTGAACTTTTGTGCTGGGTTGTGAGTGCAAGTGCCTGAGCCATCTGTTGTGTTTTTTTCAGACCAAAAGAGGAGAGAACAACCAGAGCAGCTCCAGAAGAGAAATATGATAGAAAGGAGAGGTGGCAATATTTTAAATCACTGTAGCTGGATTCACCAAACTTCATCTGTCAGGTCTCTTATGCAAGGCCTTTCTAAGTGAAATTTGTGGAAATGTGGAATAGTGTTGTTTTGTGTAGATTTTGCACTTCTGCAGATAAATGTTAATGTGACGAGATGTTCCTTGTTGTCAAACAATACTGATGCAAGAATATCCAAAATATTTGTTGTCAGGGCCTGGATTCTGCCTTAGTTACCTCGAGTTAGCTGATGTTCTTGTGGGACTTCTCCATTATTTTTCAGTGGTCTTGGGAGTCTGGTAAAGGTCGAGTGGAAGCTGACAAATGTTCCATTTTTCAAGACAGGTAGCAAGGAAGACCCTTGTTATTACAGGCCTGTTGGTCTCACTTCAGTGCCTGGTAAAATTACAGAGAAGGTTATTCTGGGAGCTGTTGAAAAACACCTGAGAGGCAATGCAGTCATTGGCTACAGCCAGCACAGGTTCATGAGGGGAATGTCCTGCTTAAGCAACTTAATTTCCTCTTATGCCAAGGTAACCCAAGGTGAGAAAGTAGATGTGGTTTTATTTTTAGCAAAGCTTTTGCTACTGTCTCTCCCAGTATCCATCCGGGCAAAATGTCCAGCACACTGCTGGAGAGGTCCATCATACACTGCGTGAGCAACTGGCTAACAGGTCAGGCTCAAAGAGGATTGGTAAATGGGGTTACACCAAGCTGGTGCCAGTCACCAGTGGGGTTCCTCAGGGCTTATCTTTGGGGCCAGAGCTCCTTAATGCTTTTAGAAATGACCTGGGCACAGGAGTCAAATGGATGTTCAGTTTGCTGACAGTACTGAACGAGGAGGAGCTGTGAACTCACTCAACGTCCAAGAGGTCTCACAGATGGCTGAATAAGCTGGAGAGCTGGGCAATTGCCAAGTGTGTGATTTAACAAAAGCAAGTGCAGAATTCTCCACCTGGGATGGGATAATCCTTGTTGTATGTACTATCTGGGGGATGAGAGGCTGGAGAGCAGCCCTGTGGAAAGAGATCTGAGGGTTTGGGTCAATGGCAAGTTGAGTATGGGTCAGCAGTGTGCCCTGGCAGGCAGGAGGGCCAAGCATGGCCTGGGGTGCATCAGGCACAGCATCATGAGCTGATCAGGGAGGTGACTGTTCCACTGTGCACTAGTGCAGCCTCACCTTGAGTCCTGTGGGCCGGTTTTGTGCCTGTCTCTAAAAAGGGCATCAAAATACAGTGTTTCCAGAGGAATGGTGAAAGGTGGTGAAAGACCTTGAGGACAAAACTTAGGAGAAGCAGCTGAGGTCACTTGGTTTGTTCAGCCTGGAGAAGAGAAGGCTGAGAGAGGCCTCATTGCAGTCTGCAGCTTCTTGGAGAGGAGCTGCTGCTGTCCTCTTTAAGGTGACCAGTGATAGAAGATGAGGAAAGAGAATGGAGCTGCATCAGGGGAAGTTCAGGCTGGACATTAGGAAAATAGGCTTCATTGAGAGGGTGGTTGGTCACTGGAACAGGCTTCCCAGGGGAGTGTTCACAGTATCAAGTGTGCCAGAGGCCAAGGAGTGTCTGAACAACACTTTTAGCCATATGGTTTAGTTTTAGGTCGTCCTGTGAGGAGCTGGGAGTTGGACTTGATGATCCTTATGGGTCCCTTCCAACTGGAGGTATTCTGTGATTCTAGTCTAAAAGGAATGTAACTACATGTAATGTAGCTGGGATTACTTTAAAAGCAGAATTTGGCAGATAGTTGATACTGATTGTTTAAAAACAGCCCAGAAATCTGTAGTGCTTGTTTACAGTTTTTGCCTAGGTTTTTGTAGAGTTGGCTGAAGATACAGGACATCCTCACTACATTGTCATGAGTTTCTATTCCCTCTACTTCGAGCAGTATAGTAGGCAACCATTTTTAAACAGTTCTGTTTGCTTAAAGTATTTTTCATAAGCACTTTACGTTGTGATTTGTCAGGCGATTCAGGACTGACCCTGACAACTGTGGCAGTTCTCGCCCTGCCCTGGTGCAGCTGAAGTCACTCTTACTCCCATCAGAAGTACAGAGTGTTATCACTAAGCAAACCAGTAGTACAGCATTTCTAGTGCTCCTTGCATCTTCCTTGTAACAGTCCTTGAATCGGCTGCTTTGCTCTTTCCTAGGTACCGCAGTGAGAAGATGACGATGAGCTACACAGAGTACCTTGCCCATCGTCAGCATCATCACTTCCAAAATGGCATTGGGCACCCCCTTCCACCATACAACCATTATTCCTGACACTGAGCCGCATGACCAGTCACTGGACCTCTCTGCAGACCTCTTCCCAGGAGACCCTGCCCCTTCTTGGTCTAGCTATCTCTATTACTGTACCATTTTATGATGATAGTTTCCGTTGCCATGTTGGAGCTTCTTAGTTGGTTCAGCTCATCATGGCAACGGGAGGGAAAACTGCATTACTACAAAGATCCCATACTTTTTTATTATCGATTCACTGCAGATTTTTTTGCAGCATATACCCTTGGGTTTTTTTATGAAAATTTAAATTTCTACTTCATTAACATTGAATTATATCAATCAAGGCTTTCTGTGACTGTGGATGGAAGGAAGAGTTCAAGGATTGCAGTTAGGGATGCTTTGCTTGGCAAAAAGGCATTCACAGCTTTTGCATTCATAGGTGTGACAGGGAATGAAACATATCAAGATTCAGGTATTAAAGTAGACAATTAATTGCATTTTCATAACCTTCTTAATAATGTGTGTACAATATCTCACCCTCACAGTAAAGATTCCATGTAGCTTTATACATGATCTTCAGACCCAGCACGTCAGCCGGAGCGTCAGGGCTGGCACTCAGAATGCTTTTTTGGATGAAGAGAAGCGATTACGTGTCCAGCGAGAGGTGATGGTAACATGGCAGCATTTTCAGATCCAAGTGGCCTAATTGATAGGGCATGACATAATCCAGCAGGCTCCCAGACCCCTCTGTCTCCCGTTCTGCGCTGGGAATCGCGGGCGACACGGCCCTGTCAGGACTAGTCATTATAATGCATTTGGAATGAGACGATGCCTTTCTGATGACTCAAATTAGGAGTGACATTTGTTTTCTAAAAGCAGATTGGTGAGTAGCAGATGTCATATTAGGAAGAAAATGGATTTAGATTTTAGTGCCTTTGACTATAACGTAACTATATACTTATATATAAAATTCTTAGGGAACATATAGTGGATACTCCAGATGTTCTGGCAAACCCTGTGGAGGCTGCTCTGCCATCAGGGTTTGAACTTCTTCTTTCTTTCAAGTGAGATTTTTTTAATAGCAAACTCCTTTTGGAAAAGAGAAATCCCTGTTTTGTTCTTTCATCTGCTCTTTATCGAGTCATGAATAGTTAGTCCAAGTTAACTATTGTTTAAGAAAAGAGAAGAGACTGTTGTGAGACAGCCAGGACAAGTATGCCATAATGTCACATGTTTTCATCTATTGCAGGAATAGTGCTTGAGAGCTGTAAGTACTGTGTAATAATTCTGATACCCAACACACAGTAGAAGAAAGAAAACCGATTGGAACTTTTTCCTGCTGTAAGAATAGGATTTAGTAAAAGGTATGTGTGGTATATTTGCAAGCCCAGTCGATGGCAGGAGCTCGCTCCTTCCTCCTGTGCCTGCAGAACTCCCACTGCTGCCTGCTGCAGCTCAGTGCGTGTTCTAGGGGATAACAGGCTGTCACAGGAAAGACCTTCCTAATCTGCGTGAGCCAACCACAGCAAGCAGAAATTCCAGTTACTTCGAATAATGAATGTTTGTAAATACATAGAGATATGAAATTCAAATAGATAAAAATCCATTAAAGTTTAGTTGTTTAAAAGAATTTGACTAACTGTGAAAAATTAGGGTTTCAGAACCTAAGGTAAGGATAAATTATGCTCATCCCTTATGCGAGGTAGCTCTGCCACTTAATTTCTATGGAGGTTCTTGTAGAAGGTCTTAGGTATTCCTTCATCCACAGCATTGATGTCCAAATATTACCATTTTCAGTTGCGATGCCTTAATTTATAAAAGCAGAGGGCCTGAGATTTCAGGAGCCAAGAGATACCAGCCAGAAGCTGCAAAAATGAGTAGATGTTTATACAGAGGCTATTTTGGATGATACTGTTGTTTTGTTTCTATTTGGGGAACACTTTTAGATGGATTAGTCTTCAAGTGGAAATGTGAACAAGTGGCTACCTGATAAGAGTTGTGTTGGTTTTTTTTCTTGCCCTTATAGGGAACCTGAGCACAAACTGAATCATTCTGCTGCAAAAAAAAAAAAAAAAAAGTCATCCAGCCCCATCTTTATCTGTCATCTCGTTACAGCTCGCTCGTGCTTCTGCATGAGCTCATTGTTAGAAGTTTTTTAAAAAGATCTATTATATATAAAAATATATATGTATTGAAAGGTGCTAATCAACCTCAAGAAGGTCACGTGACTGGTCATGCGGATCTAAAATCATATCAGATTTTTTAAAAAATCTTCGATATATGCAGATGTTATACAGAATTTCTTACCAGTGTAATAATGATATACTGATGAATAAACAATCCTGCAGGTTTTTAAGGACAAGGTCAGCAATACTTCCCACCATGGCTTGGGGGAGAAAAGGATAGTTTTGTCTCCTTTTTGTATACAGCATAATGCACAATGCATTTTTGTCTATCTCTTAGTAGCTGTTGCTTACAAATATAGTTCAAGGGTGTTATACAAACTGTCAAGGTGTGCGGTGAACCGAGCTCATGCCAGGCCCTTCTGGACCAGAGTTTTGTATCACTAACTGAAAAACTGTTAGAGAGTCTGTGGTCAATCAGATTGTATGATTTCTTTTTCTAACGATTGGAATAATCAGTCTACCTACAGTGTTTCTAGGACACCTACCTCCTCGGCACGCGCGTGCTGGACTGCTGCCGATGGTTTCCTCGTACCAAACGCGCAGCTCACTGTGACATGCACTGGCACAGATAGCTCTGTTTGCTTAAAGCTGATCAGTTGCTCTCACCAATGTCTTTGTTATGTTTAGGACCTTTCAGTTGTCTCATTGGGGTTAGCTACAATGTATTTGTTTGCCATTTGGGGTACTTTATAGAAGTTAAGGTACAACCAAGGAGCTTATTTCACTGTTAAGTTGGAATGCTAATTTTTTTACGAGCACTACTCAGTTTGCCTTATTCCATAAAACAAAGAGATTGTTGGGGTTTGGGGGAGGGTTTTTTTTGAGTTTTTTTCATTCTCTTGCTTAATGTTCCTAAAAACCCTGTTCTGTAAACTGAGTTAAGACAACCAAACCGTAGACTTGACATGAAGCTGTTAGCCAGTGGTGCTTCACGTGGCCTTCCTGCCGCGGCGGCACAGCCAGGACACACCTGCTGTTTGTATCTGACCTCCACTTGTCTTCACCCCTGCGGGTTCTTAAATTGTTGTCTGGAGTAGGTTACATCTCTTATGTGTGTTAGATCGAACCAAAGAAGCCTCCAGCCATGCCCAGATGCTGCTCCTAAAGCCTGCCTTCCAGTCCTTACAAAATCCCTGCAGGATTAAATGTGTTAACTTTTTTATTTTTGTACAGTTTCTAACTGATTTTTGCTAGTGATGTTAATTGAATTAAGTTTATTTGGGGAGCCTGAACGTCTCCTCCATTTAAATAAACTGGTGACTTTCCTTTTATGTTAAAAAAAGAGAAAAGCTTAAAAAAAAAAAAAAAAGAAACCCAAAGTGTGCCTCTCAGATTTAAGGGTTTCTGGTTACATTTATTCTTAAGACCAGCAATGATTCTTTATATACAAAGATATGTTTTCCTCGTTTTTTATTACTGTTAAAGAAAAAAATGAAAAAGAAAAACCTCTTTCTTTGCTCTGGACCCAGTAATTGTGCTGGTACATAAACGCACTGAGAAAACAAACTTTTGTTTGAAACTTTTGTAACAACTTATGACTGTTTTTGTATATCAAAGTTGATTCTTTTCAAGATATTTGGATCTAGTTTCTAAGTTATTTTAGTGTTTTATATGTTACAAAAAAAAAAAATTACTTTAAATTGTTCACCAGCATCTTGAGTTATCTTCAATGCCATGGTGACACAGCAGGCTCAGAGCTACCTGGAGTAGCTTGTAAGGCCTCAGTCTTCTCCTTCCCTCCTTAGCAACTTGATTGATTACAATAATATCACAGATTACCTGAACCCCCTTCCCTTATAACTAGATCCTCCTTCCTTCCACATTTAATTGCTATTAGTGTGAAGAAACTGTTGAAATGGGCATTTTGGTATAAGTACGGCTTAAAAAGAGAAAAATGAGGAAAAAGACAAAAAAATGCTAGAAGGTTATCTGTGGGTCTGTGAGATAATGGCTGTGGAAAGATATTGTAGTAGTTTTAACACTATTGTTATTACCTTTTAAATCATTTACCCAATAAAATAAGGAAAAAAGAATCACAATTTCTTTTTACGTTTCTCTGCTCAATTCTGCGGCTTGGTCAGTGTTTTTATTTAAGCATTTGTACCTAGTGTTCCTGTTAAAGGCTAATGGTGTGTTGGAAATATCTTCCTGGGATTAACTGTGTCTTTACCTTTTGTCTGCAGTGGGAACAGAGTGGGAACAGGTACACACAGCCTTCAGTCCAGCTCAGGAGTCACTAAACATTCCAAGTTGAATCACCATTTATATGAGTCACAGCAGTGTATTTATCAGTATTTTGTATAAATTATCAGTTCAGTTTTATACTTTTTATGTCTAACTTCACACATGGACTTCAGTCTAGGCCTGAGCTCCTTCCTATGAGAGGAAGAAGTGGTTTCAGTCTTCTGAAGCAAAACTTCCTTGGAGAAGCAGTTGTACAGGTATAACCAGTGTATCACCCGCATCACCTATAGCCCGATTGTTCAACAGAATATTGTGGCAAAATACGTGTCAAAGAGTCTCTGTCAAAGCCTCAGGCAGCTGAGGACAAAGCCAAGTACCCAGAGAGGTGAAACTGAGCTGGGAGAACTTTGTTCCCTGAGCCAAATTCTTGGTGCACTAAGATATTTTCTACTGTGCCTGAGTTGAAGGGAGCATGTTTCATCTGTAGCATAATTCCTGAGACAAAGTATTCTATCTCCCTGGAACTCATATCTGATTTTAGAAGGGGGTTTGTTTGCCTTTGACTAATGCAGTATTAATAGCTCTGCTGGCTGTAGATGCAAAGTCTTTGAAAACAAACCAACAGAATCCATGTAACCTTGGGATGTTGAAGGGTGATGCAGCTATTACTCC